TGCCCCTCTCTCAACCACCAATCCCCACTCCTCCTCCAGTCCTTACACTGCCTAAACAGATACAACCATGAAATCCCCAAGGAACCTGCATGCACTCAGAGCTGATGGTTGCCCCTTATGATCAGCCTTCATATTCTTGGGTCATCATCAGGTGGGGACTTGTCAATTCCTCCTGTAATCATAGAACCACCCACATTACGAAACAAATGTGTATCATGTTCCTATCCCGGAAAGGTGTCGATTTTAATTTTCTTTCGTAATACATGCATTACTTGTAATACTTTTGATTTTCTTGTTGCTATGGTTAATGTAAAAAGAAACATTCACCGAAAGCTTTTCATTTGAATCTCCATGAGAATATCTCCCTTTCATAAGTAAATTAATTACTATTTGCATTGGCTTCATTTATGATTATAAATAGATCATGTTTCCTTTTTTTTTTTTTTTTTTTTCTTTTCCGCTTGCATATCTTTCGTACCCTCTTTATTTATGAATAATATAAATATGCTAATGTTGTCGTAGTATGTGCAACAGTTTCCAAAACGCGGTGGCCACATAAACAAGGAACCAATAATAAATCAAACGTTACCACAGCTATGTCCTACAGGAACGGTTCTTATCAAGCGAACGACGAAAGAGGATCTAATAAAAGCAAAAAAGTATGCACATCAAATACAATCACGTATGCAACTACTGCAAGCAGAGATAACCGCAAACGACGATGGAGCTACTCATGTAAGATTTATTTCATCATGATCGATTACTTTGATAATAGTTTAATTTGTAATTTGGTTTATATTTCTCATAGACTACTAACTTGTTTCGGTCGCTTTTCAGAAAATAGAAGAACAAACATAAGCAAAAAAAAAAGATGACAAGAAGAGAAATAGAGAGGAGAGATTATATAGAAAAATGGAAAATAAGGAGAAGCTTCAAAATTGTATTAGAGGCAGTAAAAACAATTATTTAAATTCAAAATAGTTTTTAGAAAACATATATATTATTTATAGATTTCGGAACACATAATAAGAAAATATTCACATTCCATTCTGGTAGTCAAAGAAGCACCACTGCTTTGATGCATCCGTTACTGACCTATGTTAGAACAACTCCATGTGCAGCATGCTGTAACGGTATTTGAAGCTAAAAAGGGACCACATTATTATGGCGCAAGCGCAGACCTGCAAGTATTCCAGCTTTCAGGTGTTTCAATTAACCAAGCAAGCACGAGCCAGATCATTCTTACCAAAGGGGAAAGAGGGCCCAAAAATTACATTAACACCGTGCAGGCTGGATGGCAGGTAAGTAATGGCCTTTTTTTTTTTTTTTAATCTTTTGTCTTTTGTGATGTGGCATATGGAATTGAATGCTTTTGGCTGATATATATATATATAGGTGGAGTTTCAACAGGAGGGGGACAACCGGGTTCATTTCTTCACATATTGGACTGTGAGTAGTGTCGTCGTGAATTGTTTCTTTCTTTTACTTTCATGCACTAACATGCATGCTCTTTTGATATTTATTAATTCTGATTTGTATTCAATCTTCTGCTGTTAGTCGGATGGTTACCAGAAGACCGGCTGTATTAACCTGGATTGCCATGGGTTTGTCCAAGTTAGTACTCGGATAACCCCTGGCATGATCTACACACTAAGTGTTTTGTCACTCTCAATTTACAGGGTAGGAAAATTTTCTTCCTTTAGTCTGAAGCACATACATGAATATTTTCTCTCTTTTTTTTTTTCCTTTCTTGATGTGAAAGAATTTTCCTTCTTCCATTTGGGAGCTATATATTCTATTAAACAAGTTGTCTTCATGTTTCTGTATCTCTGTCCATTAAGAATGGAAAATTCATCAACTCTCTTTTCTTTCATTTCATCTTAGGATCGGTTCACTTCAAACTGGATGTTGTACAATGATAGGGAACCTATTGGGTATTGGCCCAAGGAAATCTTCAACAACATGGCAGATTCTTCCCAGGTGCAGATGGGTGGATTAGTTTACTCGCCCTTTGATGAAGCAAGTCCGCCCATGGGTAATGGTGAAAAAGGTGAAGCAACATTCACGAAC